AAAGGTTTCGAAGGAAATTGGAAACATGAGACCTGTTAACATTATAAAGTTCTCTTGGAGCTCAACAGTTTTAATAAACGGGTAATATTGCTATTATTGGGAAATTACATTTTGTTATAGAGGGTATCAATTTCACCTTCTCGATTTTCTCATCTTGGAGGATAAATTCATTTCGAGAGTATCTTTCAGGTTATTAATATTGTATAAGAGTTATCGACTGAAACTTCTCCGACATGAAAGTTAGGAATGGAGGTAAACTCGTGTAGAATAAAGTCTGGATTCATCCAATCGAGACTAGATAATGGATGGATTCGTCTTCATCAATACTTGATGAAATTGCAGCATCGCAATGATGTCGGCCATTACGGAAAATCAATCAGAAAGAGAGGTTTACTCGATCACCAGAACGTTTGCAATTTATTTCAAATGACTCTGAAAGAATTAATAAAAACTGAAAAAAATATGGTCATACAAAAGTCATTCAGATAGAATTCAGTCGATTATCTAATACCACAAAGGGAGTTGAATTATACCCGACAGGCGTTAGTGCAGAAATCTTCACAGAAAATTTCCTGCATATGCAATTGGCAATACAACTGAAAGAGTCGACTTTCAATTTTGGAACGGGCACACTTGCAGACCGGTTTCGGGCTTATTAGCCGCTCATTAATGCAATGATAGTGTGGCCATTCATCTACCTAAAGTCAATGATATTCCATAATTGAAAATTGGAATTCTTTCACAGTATTTCATTCCTCTTCCTAAGTTGGAGCGAACAACAAAATCACTCCATCTAGTGGACGAGGTACTAACCAACTACATATGCGAAATTTGCCTGAAGACTGGCAGTAAACAAATCTAAAGAAATGAATTTTATACGTTCAAACCAGTCTCGGATATACGTACACTGTAGGTTGAATGGACTGACACCTATCAGAAACCAACTACTCCCCTGGCTAATACCACGAAGGGCGTTGGATTCCTGATGATGCTAATTTATTTAGCGAAAGGCGCATCGAGAGTCGATTTGTTAAAGACTGGAAAAAGTGTTTCTAATAAATTCATTCCATGATGAAAGTTTCAATTCTACTAATGGAATTTACATGATAAAAATCCAGTCCAACTGTCAACATGCACATGTCTGAGAAAGCTATTGTATAGTGAAATTCTCAGAATTGAAGTACATTGGAATTTATCTTTTTGCCAATAGCGATGAAGCTCCACAGGTAGCTCGGATAGTCATTTACATAACCTATGCAAAAAGTAAAGTTAATGATCAAAAGTTAATGACCATAGTTGTCGATGCCGTAGATATAAAAATAATGTGATCATTTTTGGTCGATATAAATATCAATCTTTGTTTTGATGACATTACAATACTCACAGATGAAGCTAGTGGGAATCAGAATCATCAAACAGTTCACACACATATGTTCCAGGTTATCAGAATGGCATTTGGAAATAGAAAATGTTTTACAATTACAACGTAAAAAAATGTTCAGCTCTTGATACTGCTGGCTTTTCTCAAGACCCATTGTAGCTTGTTGGGCTTCAACAGCACTCAACAGTCCTTCCACCACCGTCAGAGCCGAATACATCCGAATGTAAGCATACTCTGACCACAACGTGCACAGCCTACGTGAACTGTGCCACTACACAAGTAGCTGGCAGCTTCAAATATCCCTGCGTCTCCGAAAGATGTTCTCTTCTTCGAAGACAGGTAGGTAAAGATGCGGATAAAGTTGTCCGTAAGGTTATGGAAGCGTAAGGATACTGCTGTACAGGCCTTGTTGCCAACGTGGTATTCAGTTGTACCTTTTCAATTCACCTCAGTTTGGTTTACAGTATTCAACGTGAATCCGGACTTTGTTTTTCGTTTGATTGATATGAGATGTCATCGAATTATCGGAACCACGTCGCTCTGGTATCTCAGCAAGAACAAAAAGGTGTTACGAGGTCTGGACTCTCAGGTACTGAAACAGTAAACGATACCCATGTCCAGCCCTGTGCTCCCTCGAAAAAGAAATCGGAAGCCGATTAGTTCCAGGTACTGACTCGTCGATACAATGCACTTCTTCAAAATTGACTATGCAGTAGGATGCACATTGTTCAGCTAGTAATTTTGATTTCTCTGTAGCTATTACCATTGAGTCGTCCACTTTGGTTATTGGTAAAATTGGGGAGTTTATGGAGTTTGGACCAACATACTGATCTAAAAAATCTAGAATGGTTGTGACTTACAATAAGTTCATTTACAGTTTCATGATTCATAAACGCATTGACAAAATTGTCACCATTTGCTTAGCTAGAAGTTTCTCTTCACTCTCGGTCAACTTCTAGCGTAAATAGTTGCCTAAATTGAATATCTTCACAAATGAATTCATTAGGAAATTGAAGATTTTCTTATACATGAATATTACTGGAGTTTTTTCCCAACACCAAACCGTTATTTTAACACCTCAACACGTGTTTCGATCACCAAGTGATCATCTTCAAGAGAAAGATCAAACGTTCTGATATATTTCACAAGATACTGCGTAGATGAAAGGCTTAATTTGAATTCTGAAGATAATTACACTTCTATTGTTTTCATTTTTGGAATCAGCTTCAGATATTTTCTATTGAATCAGTATTGATAGTTTAAATGGAAGCAAAGATCGAAGGGAAAAAGAAGTAATATTAATGTTGACCAAATGATATAACATTGAACAGTGCTCTTGAAATTCAGAAATCATGAAGGCCTTTTTCTCACTCATTCAATATGGATATTAATGTCACCTGAAAAGTGACATTCTGAATCCTGTATTTTCAGGTGAGAGATCACATAAACGTATATAATGAATAAAAATAATTATTCAGTGTCAGAAATAAAATGATACATTTCCGCTCTCTCATTCTCATTCTCTCTCTCCACAGATGTCAGTCAAAAAAACACAATAGCAACTTGTTTACCCAACTTTGAATGGTATACCGCTGACCAAATCTACTCTGAATGAGTTCGCTTCAACCTCCGCGTGTCAGCCCTCATGGACAACAAATGGTGACGCTAAAAAATCATGAGAAGATTAATTAGTCGTGCCGGATAGTAGCTGAGTTTGTGAACTTAGCCAATTCGTGTGAATAACAAGGATACACGGAGAGAAAACGACGTAGGAAAATTGTTCTCGATTCCACAAATGGAGGAGTTCAAAATTAACGAAGATTGAATAATTTCTACCGATTACAGCTAGAAAAGATTTTTTTTCAAATATTTCAAAATAGGTGGAATTTGTTTGTGATTTTACCGTTCCGGTCTGAAACGATTTGCAAAACCTTCATCTCTCCAGATGGGGTGTCAGTTCCAAAATTGGATTTTTTTAATTTTTCCAACTAGGTTTGGAGATTGAATGAAACTATTGAAAAAAGCTTCGAAAGATATGGAAGTTTCAAATGCCAAATATATAAAGAAAGAAGGTTATCCTCCCAAAATACAGGGGTGAATCCCAAATATCATAAAATTTCATTTGAAGAAAATTTATCTGTTAGACTTGGAATGATACTCAGTACCGAAGAAATGAAAGTGGCTGTTTCTAATGAAACAGCATTTTTTTCTCAAACAAAAAACTAAAAAACCACAAGAAATACAATCCAATATTGTGTACAAATTGAACTGTGGAAGCTGTTACAAATGATATGTTGGTCAAACCGGGCGGTATCTTAAAACACGAGTTTCAGAACACATGAGAGACTCTAAGAAACTGAATATAAAAAACCCCATAGCTCTTGTTAAATATGAAAAAAAATTCAGACACATTTTTGATTTTGATCATCCAACTATTTTAGATGTTCAACCATATTTATCAAAAAGACTTTTGAGCGAAATGATACTTATCCTCAAATGCAATAGTGTTAACACTAGAAGAAATGTCGATGACCTCAATAGATACTAATTTTTGGGAAAGAAAGTTTATGGCCTTTCTTTCCCAAAATTAAATCTCTCCTAAAAATAAACCCTTTCAATTTAAACAAGGTTCCTATGGCTGGGATTCAATCAAATAAGCGGTTGAACATTATTTACATTCTGTCTTCAACGTTATGGATGGATTGAACCCATTGTGTGACAAAAAAATGTAATTATGAGCGAATTGAGTGTTTTTTCTTATAATGTTTTCTGTATTTGCTACTGAAGAGCCTATAAGGCAAGTGTCTTACGGCGGAACATCGAATGTCTAGTTAGGGCTAAATAAACGCATCATTACTTCTAGAAACTCTGGCAAATTTCAACCAAATCGGTGGAAGGATATTTATGATATATTATACATAACGTTTTTTTTAACTTCAACGCCTTTTTTTCTTGAAACGACATAACAAATCACCCTCTGCAGTTCCGTACCGTAATTGGGAAACACCCTGTCTATGTTTTTCTTATGACAAATGTCAAATCAATGAAAAGTTTTCCATTTATCACACTTGGGCAGATTCTCTGTTGATCTATATTTATTTATTTTTCAGATTATGTAAGGTTAGAGACCCAAGCATTTTACGACTCTCTCCTTAACAAATTGTAATTTTTAATCACTCCTAGGAAACATTTCATCAAGCGGCAGAGAGATATCAATGAGGGCTTTCGAAATTGCCATATAATGGAGTTGAAAGAATTAATATAAAATATGTTTGTTTAGAATAATTAATAGAGTGCTTCTGAATTGTATGAAATGAACCCAAAATCGTAACTCAGAGCTTTCATCATTAGTTAATTTCAAGAATAAGAGCAATTTTCATCAAGAGGTTGTGTTGTTGAGAGCAGTAGCCACATTGCACTTTGTGCCAGTTTGTGGTACAGCCGGTGCAAAAATACGTGGTGCATTTTGTTTCGACTCAATTATAGGTATAGTTGAAGATTGTAAACTCATACTGGTTTTCATAGACTCACACTATATCAAAACTAAAACATTCAAACCTTTTGTCACCTCAGTTTCCGAACTTGAATTTTTTATCGAAATCACTAAAAGTTTGAGTAGAGCGCTGCATCTGCTGACACGGATCTATATTCAGCGTCGGTTAATGTTTCAGAACCAGACACAGAGATCGTAGGCGGACCTGAGCTGTTCATTGATCGTGGGAGCACTATCAACCTCACCTGCGTCGTCCGACATAGTCCCGAGCCACCAGCATTTATATTCTGGAACCACAACGATGCTGTGAGTATGCAATTTACCAGTAGCGTTCGTGATAGCCGCCGCTTAGTTCTAACTTATAATTCAGGGATTTTCAAATTTGCGACTGTAAATGGAGCGACTATAATTGTATACCGCGGCGGAGGTAAAATTGACTGCATTGAAACAGAGTTGTCTATTTTGCAGGCGATGTCATAAAAAGTTATTTTCATTTGTTTCGGAAAAGCAGCGTCGATCCTTCCTGACTCCCTTCTGGGTTGAGATAGAAAAATGACGGTGGTTCAAATGAGGGTTCGAGAACTCTGAATTGAAATGAAGCGACAAATGATTTAAATATCTGAATCCATGGCTGCTTTAGAAGGCAGTCCCCATGAACGTTTCTTCAAACACATGAATGGAAAAAATATTATATTTCAAAACCACTACGTTGTAGTTTTCAGAGAATTTTCTTATTAGTCAGTGGGCTATGCTTGTAGACTGGCAATAAACAAATAAAGCAAATGAACTTCAAACGTTCAAGCCAGTCTGCAGTGCAGGAATCTTCACAGAAACTTTCCTGCATATGCAATTGGCAATACAATTGAAAGAGTCGACCTTCAATTCTGGAACGGGCACACTTGCAGACCGGTTTCGGGCTTATTAGCCACTCATCAGTACAAGATAGTGACCATCATCGACCTACAGTCAATGATATTCCACAATTGAAAATCGGAATTCTTTCAGAATATTTCATTCCTCTTCCGAAGTTGGAGAGACTGGCTTGAACGTTTGAAGTTCATTTGCTTTATTTGTTCATTGCCAGTCTTCAAGCATAGCCCACTGACTAATAAGAGAGTTTTTCTTCCTTATGCAGAGGATTCGGGTAAATTACGGATTTGCAGTTGGTTAATACCTCGTCCACTAGATGGAGTGACACTTTGTGATGTTCTTTATAAATTTTTTTCCAACTATTTTCAATCGTAAGTAAGTCTAAATAATTTCCTACTTCAAAATATGTTTTCTAGCCTCATACTTGAATCACTGAACTACGAATTCGTTTCAAAATATATAATTTTTATCGAAAAACACGAATAAAAACATAGAGTCTGAAAGTGACTACGAGTGTATCCAAATAGAGATTTATATTGGTGCACTCACCAAGCTGTTAGCATGAATTTCAAGGGGCATTCAACACAAATGAGTCTGTAAGTGAGAACGAGTGTATCCAAATAGAGATTTGTATTGGTGAACCTACCAAGCTGATAGCATGAATTTTAGGGGGCATTGTGAGAACGAGTGTATCCAAATAGAGATTTATATTGTTGTACCCACCAAACTGATAGCATGAATTTTAGGGGGCATTGTAAAAATGAGTGTATCCAAATAGAGAAATAGATTTATATTGGTGCACCCACCAAGCTGATATCATGAGTTTTAAGGGGTATTTAAAACCTTTCAACCCAAAAAGTAATTTCGGTAGGTACATGAAACATTTCTCAAACAATCGACTCAAGTTTCAAATGAATACCGAATCTAATACCCCATTACAAAACCAGAATTCAATTGGAACCCCTATCGTAAATTGTGAAAACTTACTTTCCATTTGTAGAAGAAGTTGCTTCATTTAGTTATGATCCGTCACAAAAAAATTTAAGATTTTCATGAAAAATGAGAAATTGAAATGTCTATTTTTCACCACTTTTTTTGTAATTAATGTTACTGCAGTTTCTTTCTATAAGGATATCTGTCTGTTAAAATAAATCTATTTTTTCGTTCCCCAGCTATCGTTAACTACGAACAACTCCAGATTTTTCCGTCTTGCCCACTTCATCTGGAGTTTGAAAGCTCAAGTGTCCGGAGTATAATAGTATTTATGTGGGACAGTGTGGTCGAAATTTCTCAAAACGGTATGCTGAACATGAAAGGACTTTCAGGTAAAAATAATTCGAGGTTTTCAAACAATTCCTTGGAAAGCAGCCACAAACAATTTTTCGAATCTAAGCGATACGGAAATGTTGTACTATGCAAACAAGGGCTGTCAACTCAATTATTTGGAATACTTGGAAATTCGTAAGCACTATAAGCATTGCGGATGTAATTTGCTAAATGATAAAATCGATATAGTTTACTCACCAGTTGTCAAATTAGCGTATCCACATTGTCACAGGTAAACAAATTTCAGGTATTCTATTCAGTTATACACCTCTATTATTACCTACAGTAGTGTATATCTACTGTAGGTATAGACATACCATTCTCGAGTTATACGGGGAAAACCAAAAATGCTGTTTTTCGTTTGAAACTGTTATTTCGGAGAATATCAATAAATGGAAAAAAATGTAATTGTATTCGAAGTCTACTTTGATGATGTAATAATAAATATTCGACCTGTCTTTTTTTTTATAGATATTGATGAAGCGATAAATTCACAATAATTCATATTTGATATTTTTCTAACGTTTCATTTGAAATGTCTATAATCATCAGTGATAACAATCAAACAGAAGAAACAATTTATTTTATTATGAACTTTTGGGAATAATTAAACCAATACGGAAAATCGTAGCTACATGGCAATCTACATTGAATGCTCGAAATGACGACCTTTTTGTTGAATGCACATACGTTGTCGGTGTAGAAAATTTCTGTGGCAATTTTCTAGCATAATAGGTGTAATACTGATACTTGCATCTTTAATTTTTTGTTTGAGATGGTCGATATCTGTACTTGGTGTTGAAAAAATTTTATCCTTCATGTAACCCCAGACAAAAAAATCTAAAGGAGTAAGATCTGGAAATGAAGCTGGCCAGTCAATTGGTCCATTGTTTTCAATCCATTTTCTTGGGAATATTGCATCTAAATGTTCCATGACTATTGATGCATTATGGGGAGGAGCACCGTCCTGTTGGAAATATTGTATTTCATGGCGGATATTTAGAGGCAATTGATCTAAGTAGTCATCGAATACGTTGAATAGAAAACGAGGATACATTTCACTATCCAAATGATGGTCGTGAAAGAAAGGACCAAGTATGTTTGTTCCAACAATTCCCAACCAAACATTCATTCCGAATCTTTCTTTGAAATTGGTTTCCATATATAAATGTCCATTTGTATCATTACACCTATAATGAATCTTTCTATTAAACCAATCATTGTTGCTGAATTTCGATTCGTCCGTCCATATTAATTTTTTACAAATATTTCTAGGTCTCAACCTCTTTGCAAATCGTACTCGCCTTTCGTAATCCCTTTCATTGAGGTGATGAACTTCACGTATACTCTAGCATTTTTATTTGTTCTTTTTCGAAATAGTTCTGGTGGATTTTACAGAAATACCTATTTCGTGGGAAAATTCTCGTAAAGAACAATATTGATTAGAATAATTTTTGTAACTGGCCAATCCTAAATAATGGATGTATGTTACTAGATGTGCGTGATTCCTCATACAACTAGTAACCACACATTTTCTTGTTTACTTTCTGTCGAATGCACCATAGTCCTTCAAATATCTTTCTAATTGTGTTAACATTTGGATGTTCGGAATACGATGATTCGGGTATAACTCAACATACATATTCCTTGCCAAAAAAAGGAATACTATTAGATTTTACTTAACTAAATAGCATATCAGTCCTTTCATCATTTGAATACATACTTGATATGTTCATAAACGTCTGACAGTTCTCAACGAATTCATTTTTCCTGCCATAGAAACCAAGCAAAGCCTACGCGTTTGAGATGGTAAATGAATTGAGATGCTATTTGATCATACCAAATTGTACAACAATTGAATTTTGACCAAAAACTAATATTTTAGTAACTCCAGGATTGAGAATTATGAAAATATTAGGAATTATAATTGATAAGGGAGAAATAAATGAGCCTTGAAAGAAGGATTACGGCAATACAACAATTTCCAAAACGAAAAGTACGAATGTCCGAATTATTTTTTTAAGAAATCGAAACAATTTATAAAAGAGGACCGACACTAAGTGGGAAACATCTGTACACCGAAAACCCACTCACACGGGACATTATCTGAACCACGAATCCAACCACGATGAATCAACTAAAAGAAACCATCAAGATTCTATTATACCGTGCTTTCGGGCTCTGTAACACGAAGGAAGGTCTCGAGAAGGAACTAGACATCATCAAAAAATGATCTTCAACGGAATGGCTACTCCCAAGCGATGGTAGAAAAGATTTTGGCTAAAAGACAGCAGGAGCCTAGTAAGGAAGAAAAGCCGTCACAACCAGTGCTTGCACTTCCCTACATCAGAGGATTATCGGATAGGATAAGCAGAATTGGTTCCAAGTACAACATCAGAACCTGCTTCAGATCCCGTAACACTATCCGTAACAGCCTCACGAAATCATTTACCGGATACCCTGTGAGTGCAAAAAATGCTATATTAGTGAAACTAAGAGGCCATTGAATGTTCGCATTGCCGAGCACAAGAAACACAAACAGCGAGGGGAAACCAGCGAATCAGGAATACCAGACCATGTTTGGACCCATCAACACAACATCGAGTGGTCCCAAGCTGAGATCCCACACAGAGAGGAACATCAGTTTAGGAGAAAATTCAAGGAAGCCGCATACATGTTGTCGAACAACGTATTCAGCCAAGCTAGCGTAGAAATACGCAACATATGGAAACCCATCATCAAGCGAAAAATTGCCAACTCCTGCCAAACGGTCATTTCCCACTGAACCAGTGGAGCGAAAAAAATGGAAAGAGGGGATAAGTGAAAGTACTCGAATGACCCATAAATAGTCATCTCTCGGTGCCCAGTCATCACCCGAAGACGATTGTGGATAATAACTATCGAAACGTCGTGAACTAACTTGGCTTGAAATCTCTTAAATTTTTTATTTTTGATCTTCATTTTCATTTTGTATTTCTTTATTTTTTGTTCAGTTGTTCTATTTCAACTTGTATTTTATTTCACTATTATTTCATTAAAGGTTTTTTTACTTAATATAATTTATTCTGGATTATTACAATGTGTTAAAACAACGATAAAAATAATATAAT